GACCAGGCCTTAATAAATGAGAACAGGTAGTCCCAGGCTGAAGCCAAAGCCAAAGCCAAAGCCAAAGCCCAGTCCCAGACTTGTTTTATATATAATTTTTTTCCCCCCGTGTTCAGGGGCCATGCGCTTGCGGCAAGTAGCCGGGCCAAGTGCTTTGGACTCACTCTAATTAGTCAATTTTTTTACTCAATTAAATCTGCAAGGCGGCAGAAGAAGATGGGGACTGGAGACAGGAGACTGGAGACAGGGGTCGGCAGCAGCAGCAGCAGCAGCAGCAGAAGAGGCACTCGAGTAAGCAAATGATGTGCAGTAATTAGTGGGGACCCAGGGATATATATACATACGTACATATATATGTATGTATACTTGTATATATATATCCCTGAATTCCCCAGTTGGAAGTCGGAGCTGAAAGACCTTGCTGCCGTTGCCGTTGCCGTTGCCGCTGCCGAAGATAAATAATAATTTTGTGCCCCTCTGGCTCTGGCAATTTTTGCCACAGAGAGCGAGAGGATGACAGGTGCAGTGACAACCACACACATGCAACGTGGGGCACACGGATGCACGGGTATCCAGCAACTTACATGTCATACAAGTCGCCTGGTACTACGAGTACATTTATAATCAAGCGGCAGTAAACCGCAGAGCAGGCTGAGTGCTGCTGCTGTTGCTGTTGTTGGCTCTCTGCGTTGCTGCTGCCACATGATGAAGCATCTTCGATGAGCACGATGATGATGGTGACGATGATGATGCTGCTGATGACGGTAGCATCTCGCCGTGTGTGTACTTGCAGCTTGTATCTGCTAAATGAAAACATACATTGCGGTCGCCGGGAGTCCCCCAGTCTCTCTCTCTCTCTCTCGATATAAATTGCCCGCACTCTGAACACTGCGATTCGGATGGGATTAGAAAGTATGTATCTCTGGGAATTGAATGGAAATGTGCCAAAATTCACTAATTACACATCGCCCAGGCAGTGTCGGATGGGGTGGAGGGGGGCATGGGCATCGATTCATTGAATTCCATTTTGGTGAGAGATATTAAAATGTGAAAGCCATCGATTACCCCCAAGAGAGAGAGAGCGAGCAATGGAAGGTGAAAGGAATACAAATATTTCGCACAGATCAGAATGGATCCGTTAGAAAGAGAGAGAGAGAGAGAGAGAGTGTGAATGAATTGGCTAAATATTGCAATTAGAACGGAAATCAGAAAAAGAAGCTGGAATGAATTGCGTATGAGATACAGATACAGCTTTAAATGGTTCTTCTCCCTTTCAATAGATGGGGATCTTCTTCTATTCCCATCCCAACCCCAAGCAGCAACTGCTGTTCCAGTGCTTGTGCCACTGTGCCACCAGCAAAAAACATCCTCATCAATGTCGTTGTCCGTCGTCGGCTGGGGGATACAGAAGCAGCAGCAGCACCAGCAGCAGCCACAGTCCCTGTCCCCGTCCCCGTCCCCGTACCTGCCCCATCCATGCCACACTCTCTTTGCGCCTCATCTACAAATCGTGCAATGATGGAAAACCATTGGACAAAGTCTTTGACTTGTATTCATTTTTTTCTTTTCTCTGCTTTTCTCTGTGCCTTTCTGTTCGCTTCATTCTTTCTTTCCGCTTCTTTTGCCTCTTGTTGTGTGTGTGCCGCGGCGCTTGGGAAGGCCTTTTATATGCCCCATTCAGTTGCATCTTTTTTGCGCTCAACCATCGGCGCGGTGGGGGGAACTGGGGAACCATCCTCTGTCCGTGTTCTGTCTGGTCTGGCTGTTTCTGTGTAAAAGCGACTAATGTGTCTACGGAAGCCATTTCGTGCCTTTTAGCGGCCCCGAACCCAAACCCAAACCCAAACCCAGGCCCAGGCTCAGGCCCAGGTCTCGAGCCAGTTGCAAGCGGCAGAGCAATCTTCAAGTTTTGTGTTTGTTTTCCTTTCGTTGTAGTTAATTCGCCAAGTAATAATATTATACGAGCCGGGGCCCAAGAGCACTTGTACTTATGAATGTCCTCCGTCTCCGTGGTGCTCGCTCTCCCTCTCGCAAGAACGGAAAAAGGTTCCGTAGAGATGGCAACGTGACATATCGATAGGCGGAAGGAAGAATGCTCCACCGAAATTCTTCAGGTGCGACTCACGCGAACAGCGAAGATCCCTCCGAAAGAAGACCGAAACGTTCTAGGGATAAAAGACAGGGATGTCTGTACTGGGAGATAGACGCTGAAGTTTAGCTTTGCTGAAGGCATGCCATTCCTCCGAGGCTCCTCTCCTCACGCTCTCGTCTTCAGTGTTGAAGGAGCCACTGAGAAGCACTTGTACTTATGAATGTCGTCTTGGGCAACATGCTGTGCAGTCCAGTCCAGTCCAGGCTACAAAAATAACAAAAATGAGCAAGGCAGCAACAAAAAAAAAAAAGGAGAACCTGCCGGACCTGCCCCTCAGGCTAAATTGGCTTGAATTTTACGGCTGCTGCTGCTGCTGCTGTTACTGACGACGACAACAGGCAACAACAATCATGATGATGAGGACGATTGGCCTCGCCTTTGCTCGGGCTCGGGCTTGGACTTGGGCTTGGGCTATGGCCTCGGTCTGTATTTAAGAGACATCATTCATCTGACCGCCCCATCAACGGCAGCTCTTCGGCTGCACATCGAAGGCTACGACGATGATGACGACAGCAATAATAATAACCAACAACAGCAGCAGCAGCAGCAGCAGCAGCAAAAACAGTATCTACCAGATACAGAGGGCAGTCGAAGCTCCGTAGCCCCGTGGCCCTCTCTGTGTAGCACAAAGTACAAGTCCGCATAATTATAATCAACGTCATTTAACGTTGCCGGCCGTCACTCAGCGCCATCCACAACATCCACAGCAACAACAGTAAGAGCAACATCCGCAGAAGCAGCAGCAGCAGCAACAAACAACAAACAACAAACAACAACAGCATGTAAAGCTCCCTTCGCTCCAACGGCGACGGGGGGTTCTTATTATTATTGTGTATCTTTCGGATACATTTTTGATAACAGCAAACGCAAGAGAGCAAGAGAGAGAGAGAGAGAGATGGAAAGGAAGGAAGGAAGTGGAGCATAAAAGTCACCTATAAATAAACCATTGGAATCTACTAGATATTTTGACTGCTATCTTCCAGATACATTTGTTGCGGCAATACTCGTGCCATTCAGATATTTAAGGACTTCCTAAGGTTTATTTTTATTGGTCAACATTAGGCACAGATTGTTGTATCTTTTATCGCATTGCCAAAAGATACTCTATCTTTCAGAGGGTGTGACGTGTTCGATGTGCCGCCCAGCTGTTTTTCCAACAAATTCATTTTCCGTTTTCCGCTTTCCGTGGGCCTTTCAATTTCTCTGTTTGCTCTGGCGTTTGTTGACCTTTGTCAACTTTGAACACGCGACTAAGCGCTCGGAATTAGCGCAAATACATTTCCAGTATCCATGAAGTACACAACGCACACACACACACACACACACAGATACAGATACACAGATTCAGATACAAAATGTAGCTAGCGGAAGTTGGCTATTTATAACAAATTACCAAGCATTTGACATTTACCAAAACGCCGACGTCAAATTAAAGATTTCTGTGGGTGTGGGTGTGGGTGTGTGTGGGTGGGGGGGCTGGAGGGCTGGAGGAGATCTGGAAGGAGGAGGTGTGGCCCAGGAGGCGTGCGGGTGGCGAGAGGGGGGCGAGCACTTTTGGCATGTAATCAAATGTAACCGCACACCAAATATGCGCAGACAGCTGCGGCAAAGGCGAGAGCGAGGGCGAAGGCAAAGGCGGAGAGCTAGCCGGAGACAGAGACGGACACGGACACGGACACGGATACGGACACAAGCTACAGAGGGACGGCGCTTGTGGTCCCCCGCACCCGCACCCGCACCCGTCGCCGGCCCCACTTGGCTAAGCCACGACCGATTTAATACAATAAATCCCATGGCCCCGACCTGAGAGGCCGAGACCGATACCAAGACCGAGTCCCAGTCCGAGTCCAAGTCCAAGTCCTCGGCTCGCCTCGCCTCGCCCTTCACTTGACTGGGAACCACAGACTTGACTCGGGTTCACTTCTGAGCGACCTTCTTCATTAAAATTATGACAAGCTGTAATTATCTTCGATTTGCTTTGACCAAGAAGCCACGCACTAATTGCGTGTGAGAGATACAAGAGACGGTGGTGGTGCTGGTGGTGGTGGTGGTGTTGGGGGTGGGGCACACAGCGAAATTAGTCATTCAAATACTGTAAATGGGCGAAAGGGAAGGAATCTCTGAGAGAATCTCTACCCGTCTCTCGTCTACTCTGTCCCCGCGTAATGGTCGACTGGAGACATGGGAACTCGAGGGAGCGGTTTGCTGGTGCCAGATTTCAAGCTAAGGAATCCTTCAGTTGATTTTTTTTGGCAAAGAGTTTTTTATTAAAACTCCCTCGATACTTGGTGGAAATGGTGATGGGCTCTTGTGGATATTTCCCCAAATGTAAGTGTCTTCCTCGACTTGAATGTCGCTGCTCACTGGAGGCACAGCAATTTGGTCTTCCGACCAAACATACACACAGTTATCTATACCCATGTACATTCTGTGGAAAACTGCGTGACCAGGCTAATTAACGCTTCGAGGAAAATGTTGACGAACTCGCCGACGAAGAGCCAGAGCCACAGCAGTAAAAAGCAAGAAAATTGAACCTCAAGATAGACATGAGAGACGTCAACTATAATGTCCATCTGTCCATCTGCCCGTCTGTCCGTCTGCCTGTTGTGGTGTGGTGTTGTCTGCTGTTTGAGGGGATGTGTATCTCATAGATACCGGTTCATAATTTATGTAATTATATGCGTTTAAACATTGCAACACGAAAGAAGGCAGGCAGAAGGCAGTGGCAGAAGGCAGTGCCAGTGGCAAAAGGAGACGGGAAGCCATCGAGTTCTTTCAACTATTATATAGCCGACAACAAATTATAGCAATTATATAACATTTTTTTCTCTTCTCTTCCCTTTTTCAGATTGCATCCGACAGAAGAGGAGCTTTGCTTGGGCTTTGTTTGTGTGACAAGCGAAACTAATGAGCGGCCAGCAGCAGCAGCAGCAGCAGATCGGAAACAGGAAGCAGACGAACGAAAGTAAAATTGCTTAAATAAATAATCGTAACTGTGATAACACCAAAGAAAGCGGACAGCACAGGCAGACGGCAGCAGCACAAAACCAGGCTAAGAAAGCGCTCACAAAAGGCCAAAAGCAGTTGCGTAATTACCGACCGAACGGAGCGGACCGGAGCGGACTGGACCGGACCGGACCGGAGAGGAGCGTCCAGCGAGTGATTTTGAGAGCAATAAATGTCAACGTGGAACAAGAAAAGTAATCACAACTATTTGCTAGAGTTCAAGCAGCACAAAATGGCACAAAGCAGAAAAGCACAAGCAGCAGCAGCAGCAGCGGCATCGGCAGTGGCACTCAGCTACAGCATCTCTGGAGAAACATCATCACACAGAAGACCCATCGCCTCCTCTCCAGCAACACATTCAAGTTCAAGGCGGTCATCGTTAATCACATGTTTTATATCCTGCCACACGTCCAGCCTCTTGTTGCTGCTCCTTCTGCTGCTCCTCGATGGAGCCCAGGCAGGCAGTCGCAGCAGCAGCGGCAGCGGCAGCAACAAAACAGCAGCAGCATCTGGACCCAACAGCGGTGGGGCAACACCCATTTGGGATCATGCCATCGATTTGAATGAGGATTTTCGCATACTCTGGCAAATCATTAATCAGGATATAACATTCGAAATACAAGCACGTACACTCGGCTATGTCGGCTTCGGGTTCTCGCCCGATGGGAATCTGGCTGGTGCCGATATGGCCATCGGTTGGGTGGACAAGGGTCAAACCTATTTTCAGGTAAGTGAAGCGCAAAAAAACACACACACAAAAAAAAAGAAAGGAAACAAAAAGGAAAAGAAAAGAAAAGAAAAGAGCAGTAGCGGTGCGAGGGCCCAACGATTTTTCATTCCATGGCCTAACATTTTCATTTTCCCAATGCGTGTGGCCGGAAATTAAGGCCAGCCTGGAGTCCGGACTCCCGACTCCCGATAGCCGACTCCCCCGACTGGTCATCCCCATCTTCTGCCCAACTAAATGAAAAGTTGTCGCCCTAATATCATCCAATTTATTCCCGCAAAAGTCTTCTTCCCAGGGCTCTCGCTGGTTGATAAATATGTTGTATGAAAAATACACAAGAAAAACATTTTGCCACTCAACTTGGATTGTAATTAATTTGTAGCAAAAACAAAAGTCACACAAAAAGGTGCGCGAAATATATATATGTGAATACACAGGCTGGACAGTCAGCCAGGGACCAGGGACCAGAGCCAGGGCCAGGGACAGACAGGAGTGGACAGGGTAGAGCGACGCAACGGCGGTGGCGGCGGTTGAATAATGACAAACTCATTTGTGGTCCGGGCGCTGGAACAGCAAACTTTTTATTTGAACTTCTAGCGAGAGAGTTTTTTGTTTTAGTTAGCTAATGGAATAGTTGGGTCCGCTTTGAGGGGAGTAACTACTCGTATCTGCCACTCGATTATGGCACTTTATCTGTCCGTCTGTCGGTCTGTCTCTCGGTCTGACTGTCTGTCTCCATGGGATATATTCATTGCTGAATTGGCCAACAAATTATGTCGATTGGCATGCCTCAGTCCCCACCTAATCCAGTTGCTGTGTTAAGCATAATCGGGGTCACCAATTGCTTTAACCTTTCGTATTATTGCTTAACAACGTATAATTAGGGAATAAGTAATAGCACGCCGCTCAAGGACTCTCGAGTGTAGCTACTTTCAACCTTTTCTTACTTTTCTACGAGCACGAGCACGAGCAGCAGTGCTGTCTGTCGGGGTCACCTTGCTCTTGCTCCTGCTCTTGAATAATGGGTGGCGTATTCCCCATTTCAATGCCATTCACCAGTAGTTATCCTTTTTATACAAATTTACCTAACCGCCTGCCGATGCCATCTTGTTTATCAAAACACATTTCAATTGTTTTAGTTTTTTTGGGTCACGTCACCCTTTGACCCTGCCATCCAAATGTAACGCTAATTTTTCGTTTTTCTTTGGGAAAACGCCTTTGGGGGACCTCAAAAAACGACGTCATTTGGCCAAAGTTGTGGCCCAGAGGCGGCTCCCTCCATTCCCACCCAGTCGCAGGAAGAGTAATAGGAGTCGTCACTGCAAAGTGTCTAATGAAATGCGAGTATTGCGTGCTGTGGTTGCGTAGCTCTTCGCTTTTCTTCCTTGCTCTCTGTTCTCTTTGCCCCCACAGGATATGCGTGGGGCAGGCTCTCGGCTGGGGGGGTGTTGGCCAATTGTGCGGCTGACACAAACAGAAAGAAACGGAGAGGGGAGACAGCTTTTTTTCCTCCTTGGTTGTTGTTGTGTGATTTAATGATTTTCGAGGCAGGCAACGAAAATGTCACCCACACACATAGTGATTGTTATTGTTGTTGAATGTTAAATACCATCCAGATACATTAATATGTCTGTCTGACTGTCTCGACGACCCCTCTTTCTGGTTTGCTGTCTTTGTGTCGGTTTGTCTGACTGTTTATCTGTCTGCCACACTGCCTGCCTGCCTGCCTGCCTGTCTGTCTGTCTGTCTGTCAGTCTGGTTGTGTGACGGTGTTAATTTCACATCTTGACGTGTCGTTGGTAATTGCGAGTTGCCTCAAATTGTACATACAATATCGTATAATGGGACTCGTGACTGTCACCTTGCCACCCACTCGCACTCGCACTCGCACCCGCACTCTGCCTGCCTCCCCGCCTTGACTTTTTGTGTAGGCGCTGATTTGTGAAGAGGTTCAAAGGTTAATTGGAACTGTAACGGATATGCCGATTTAATATATTAATTAAGTGCTACAAGTGTAAAAGGACCCACACAAAGGACTCACTCACAATTGTTTACTCTCGCCTCAGGTTGAGATATCCCTTTAGTATACCCTCCTTATGTGTAGGGTGAAAGGGGTCTTAGATCCTCTGCCTGTGTATGTAACAGACGAAAGAAGGCCCTTTACAATTTTAGATGGAATATATATGATAAACAGATTATAGATGGACAGATTCATCGTCGATTCAATAGCCAAGGCACAGTACACTCAGTATATTCAGGTCTTTTTTTTTTGGGTGTTAGGCAGAACATATTTCCCCAGATATGTAGTTCTCAATTAGAGAGTGTCTTTTGGTCGAATTATCAGCTAAATTCGTACTCTTTGGCTCTTGTGCTTGGGTGTTGTTTGTTTGAACCTATCGTTAATTATTTTTTAATTATCTAATGCTCTCACACCCACAGCCACGGCCACGGACATAGCCACTCTCCCTCTTTCCCCTCGCTTTCTCCCGCTCTGCAATAAATTATTTTTTTGTGATATTCGAAATATTTATGACAATCGAAGCCCGCCCATGTTCGCTCTTTTGCTAATTGGCTAATTTTTGGAATGCTATTAAAATTGTCAAACAACAGACAACGATTGTGGGCGGGGACAGGGGAGGTACAAGAAATATTGTCTGGCATTTATGGAATTTTCATTTAAAATTCATCTCACACACAATGCAAAAAAACACTGACCATAGAATACGAATAGAATTCTGTTCAAGCGACTTTAAGAACTCTCTAGAAATTCGGCGCAAAGGCAAAACCCAGCCATAGAGCTTATATGTATGTATATCTGTCGAGAGTTTTTATCTCAAGTGTCAGCCCAAGGGCGAAGCTTAAGTATTTCCCCCCCCTCCCTATTCGGTAGGGTGGCCGTGGGGCTGGGGGGCAGGGAGGCAGAGATGGGACAACGATGGAGCGATGAAACGATGAAGAAGCAGACATTGACATAGTTCTCATTAGATTGAACAATGTGTGGGAATTTTCGCATTCAATGGGTTTCGGGCTTGTTTCGGGCTGCTTTTTTGGCAAGTTCCCCATGTGCCCTGGCTGGCATACTTGGCATAGTTTTCTGCATTTAGCCAAGAATATTATGACTGCCGTTTATCATTTGGGGGGAGTTTTTGAGGCAGAGCTTGGCGAAAGCCACTGAAAGAGTGAAAGATGGCCATCATTGGGAAAGTTTAAGGCTGGAAAAACTGGGCATTAACCAGCTGTCCATCGTAATGGCACAATTGTTTCTGATGGATACTTAAGCTTTGAGGGCGTCCCAGCACCTTTGGAAAGCTCCCAACGAAATCTATCTGCATCTGTATCTATGCACTGTATCCCATGTTTGCAGAGTGTCCAAAGAAACATACATCAGATATTACGAACCTCCCACGCGACCAGCCATCACTCAAGTGGGACAACCAGTTGATAAGTTTCCTGGGGTTTTCCTTCACTCAGCGCTCTTCTCGGCTCAGATTTCCAGAGCAGAACTATCATTTTTTATTGGCCGGGTTGGCCGGGCTGACCAGCCAGTCAGCCAGACAGCATTCCCCCCAGCCCAGACTCAGTCTCGGTCTCAGGGCGACAACAAGTGTAACCCTATAAGTCCGTTCTGAAGACTCCCCACGAACACAAAGGCTTTGCACACTTTCACTCCCACAGAGCCCGCAGAGAAGCCAGGGAGCCAGCGATCCAGGGGTGAGGGGTGAGGAGTCAGCGGAGGAGACGACAAGCTACTAAATGGCCTCGGCGAATCCGCTTTAAAGGCTGACATAATCAGAGAAGAGACACGGAAGAGGGGAGAGGCTCTGGGGATGGGGTTTTGGCCTATTAGTCGCCCATTATTTTGTAGATACTTTTGTGATAAGCCCTTTGCCGTTGCCGCTGCCGCCAGCCTATGATGATGATGATGCCACACCTAAAGAGAAATACAAATTTTGTGTAATTTATTTTCAACTTTTATTACGAGTGGCTTGGGGCGCAGGAGGATTGGGGGTTGGAGGCGCCTGGATGGCTTATCAAAATTTTAATTAATACGCATCTGAGAAAAGTTTTTGTGAAAATGGTTTCAACGAGATGGCGAGCTGCGCTGCGCTGCGTTGCGCTGCTCTGCTCGGCCAAGGCCGAAAGGCCCCAAAGCCAAAAAGCTTCTTCTTCTTGTTTTCCTCTGACGTTAATTAGTGGCATCCAAAGTGGCTGGGCGACGACGACGACGACGACTTTGTTGCACTCACTCGCTGCTGGAGGGTGGGTGGGGGTAGGGCCTTGTGGCAGGGGGGGGTGGGGATTGAGAGAACTACAACAAACAAGCCACAACAAGCCATTAGCTACAACGAAAAACCAAGAAGCGATTAGTATCTTAAAAGTACTTAAAAGGTCGTTACACTGGCCCCATACTCGTAGAGCGAATGAAAAGCGAACTTGGCCAGCGACTAATTATTTAATTTCAAGTTTTAAGTATGCTTCCACGTCTGTCAGTCACTCGGAGGCAAAAAGCTCCCTCCCTTGGCCCTCGGGCGCGCCCCAAACAGCCTCAAACAGAAACAGAAACAGACACAGACACAGAAACAGAAAGAAACCTCTAACCCATTAAGCGCAGAGATAACAGATCCATTATAGAAGAATTACGAGAGTACGCAACGCAACATCTCCACGGAGAGCGCGCCATCAACATTAACATTAACATTGTAGTCGTCGTCGTCATCTTTCGCTAATGACCATCCATCGATGTGCTCCGATGTCGAGATGTCGATGTCGATGTCGATGTCCATCGTAGTACATCACTCAAACTGAAGGTTGCTTATGGGGCAGGCGGCAGGCGGCAGGCGGCAGACACGGAGCTCTTAGGTGGGTTGGGGGCTATCGTCGTATCTGTTTAGTGTCCATCTGTCTGACTCACTTTCAAGTGGTTACGATGCACAAAAAACCAAGGGAAAAACTTCATTACAAACTCATTTAAGTTTTTTTTTTGTTTTTTGGGTAGGAAG